AGCCTCTGGTGCTTCTGGGATATAACTGCTTTTGTTGTGTCCCCCAAATAACTTGTGTCCCCCAAATAACAACAACTATCCTGGTAATTTATAGATAAGTGGGATTTCCGTAAATTATTTTACTTATTACACTATTATAACAATGATGCATTATGCTTTTAATGGAGACAATCTATTTGAAATGCCAAACTAATGTATTTTTGTTTCTCCTTGAATCATCATCCTTTAGATCGCCCCTTATGCGCTGGGGCAAGAGAGGGTGAATAAATGAGGGGATGAGTACAGGAATAAGGTGATTTCTTGAGCAAGACAAGATGTTTACAATGAGGCTCTGAATGAAAGTGGACTTTTCTAAATTCCTTTCAGGTATGAGAGACCCAACCAAGAGCTCCTCCTAGACAGGAGAGAGAATGCCGCTCAACACTGGAAAGCGAGATCTTGAGACTGTGCCCAAAGGTGAAGATAGGATTGTGGGGTGGGAGGATGAACAGCCACCCCTTGTGCCCCCAATTATGTACTGAAGAAGGGAGACAGTCCTGCAGATGGGGGTGGTCGGGCATGTGGGCGTTTCCTTCTTGAAACTGAAAGCACAGCAGTTGTAGACAACATGTAAAGGCTGAAGAGAAACTATTAAGACTCCATTTCCTATAATACCAGCTACCTGTAACGACCCAGGCGCTGTGTGATGTGCATTTTATGCAATCATTTCTTTCGGCCCTCACGAAGAACCCTCTCACAATTGCTCCAACAGATAAGGAAAGTGAAGCTAGCGAAAGCATGTGAGTGGCCCAAGTCGATCCAGGATGTGACAACCCAGATGTCTCTGACTGAAGAGCCCACACCTTTAGCCTCTGTGCTATGAGGTTACTTTAAGTCACCGTCAATCTAGAGTTCAGTTGACTTGCCTGGCCAGAGTGTCTTCTTCCCTGAATTCCTTCCTCCTCCATGCTGCCACTCCTCCCCTTAAAACATGCAGAAGAGGCTCCTCATTGCTGGTCTGTAGGATGAAGTCCAAAGTCGCCGTGGCACACACTAAGGACAGGAGCTGCTGAATGGAACATGGGAGGAACACTTGTACAGGGACCAGTAACCCTTGTCGCTGCCCAGTGTCTTTTCCCATCCCATTAGGTAAGTGCATTCATTCAATAAGATTGTATAACAGCATGTCTTAAAATGGTGTCTGTTTTCTTCATGGATAGACATTCACTTGAAACAAGGGACGACCCCACACCTCTAAGGCCAGGGTGCGTGATAAGCACGATCTCATAGGCTCCTGTGTTCAGAAGTGTTTGGGGTTTAATGCCCTGTGGTCATCATCATGAAATCCGTAATACTTTTATCTTTGAATTTGTGTTTCGTAAGTGAAATATAATGGGTCTAAAGGCAGCCTGCACCCAGGGCTTGAAGACTTAGCTCATAGGTGGTCCCCACTCCCTAGGGCTCCTCTGAGATGAGTTCTCATCCGCCCACCAAACTCTGGGCCTCCACGCTCTGCCCGGTCTCCCAGGTCTGCTCCTACCTCTGATGACTGCAGCAACTGGGTCGGGGTGGCCCAAGTTCTACTGTTACACTCCACCTGGCACAGGAGCAGGTAGGGTCAAGGTCAAGCACACATCCTGCAGTTCCTCAGGGTGGGGCGAGGCAGTGCATGTCCCAGCTCTGGGCAGATGTGACCACGCCAAGTTCAGCAGGCTGCTCCATGCAGCCTTCTCACTCACGCCCAGTCCTGGGAAGTTGCAAGGTCTTGGGGCTCACCTAACCCCTGAAGATTAGAGCAGGAGGCCCATGAAAGGGAAGATTCACTGATCTACCCAGAGCGGTGTCTGCATCTCCTTTCTGCACAGGATGGTGCCGATTATGTAACCTGCTCTCATGATTCTCTGATGTGTTTCTTCAAATACAGTGGAAATGTCAAGACATAATAAAAATATGACATTAGTGTTACCTCCAAGGGTGCTGAGTGCAAGACACTAACAATTTAATAAATGTGGGCTTTTAGATTGACCTATGTTAATGTGTGGTTTTATGCTATTTTGCATGGCAAGGGAAGCTTCTCAGAATTCATTTGATTGTTAGATCAATGTGAAAATGCATTATCTGCCTGCCTTGAGCATGGCCAACTGTTGACCTCTTCAATTAAGCAGACTTGAGAAAGAAAATTCAATTACAATGAGCAAACATTTCTGGAACACTTTCTATGTGCAAGGCCCTGTGCCAGGTCTTGTGGGGAATAGATTTCGTGAGATTTGTTCCTAGTTTGGGAGTGCTTACAAGCAAGAGGGGAGGTAGAGATACATGCCTGGGTAACCATGGGGTAGCACACTCTTTTCCTTATCAAAGCAGAGGAAACGGAATTATGGTCGAGCTGGACTGTTGTTACAGCACTTGAGAGCAGGAGATGCTAGTTCCTTACTTTATGTCCATCTCCCTTCTTTGGGAATAGAATTCCATTTTTTTCAGGGTTTCTCCCTTGGGAAAGATGAGTCTGTCTCCAGCTCAGTGATACATCTCGATGGGATTCTCTCGCTCTGTGGTGGGATTCTCTCTCTCTCTGTGGCAGCATCTCCTGTTGCTGACTAGCTTTGAGATGGCCATGTGACTCAGTTGTGGCCAAGCAAGCACGATGGCAAGTCTCTGGGATGCTTTTGGAAAGACCTTCTCAGTAGAGGTGACTCTTATGGTTAAGGGTGCCATCTCTGATATGGACTGCCTGGTTTATAATCCCGGCTCCACGGCTGACCAGCTCTGTGTCATCAGGAGAGTCATGCAAACTTTCTGCCTCCATTCTTCATCTGTTAAATGGGGTTAATAATAATACATAGCTAATGGGGTTGTGGCGAGGATAAAGATTAGTTAATATTTGCAAAGCACTTAGGAAAGTATCTGGTGCACAGTGTCACTTGTTAACTGTCATTATCATTATTTTGAGACGAGATGCCAGAGGTGAGTGTCTCTTTTATGAGCCTGGATGTGACTCCAGTAATGTCCATCATGGCCTTGTGCACATAAGAGAGGCTGGCCTAGGAGGGAAGAAGCTGGAGAAAGAGTGGAGAAGAGCCTCAGTCCTTGATGAAGTCACTGAGACTCCGTCACCATCCTGGAGACCATTCGACCTCTGGCCTCCTTGTGAGATGCGATACGTTTCTTGTTCAGGATGTCCTCAGGCTGCCGTGGTCCTGGGGTCAAGGGTGGCTTCCTGGTATCTGTCCGGGAGCTCCGTGGCTGGTGTCCCTCCAGGGCCCACAGGTATGCTGGCTATGGGCTATGTCTGAGCAGCTCCTGCCAACCGGCTGGGACCCCACTTCTGGCCTTATCTTAATCACAATGGGATGGCTTCCTGAAAGACTGAGCTTTCGGGCATTTCCAAAATTTCCTGAAATCCACAATCTACTCTTGATATTCACAGTGAACATGCCCTGACATGACTTTTGAATCTGCAGGATGCTATGGCAATGTCATTTCTCCATGAAACACAATAAATGAACACTTAACACAATGCCCTTTGATTCTTAATGATTCTATAGGTTTACGGACAGGAACAAGTAGTGAACTTACTAAATTCTTCCAGCAAAATAAACTCTACATTACTTCATTTCTTAAAAAGCAACACTAAGAACTTACTTACATTTCCAGAAATAAGGTGAAGCGGATGAAAACCAGTTATAAGGAATATATCAGGAGAGTTATCGGTTACATGGGGATGAGTTCTCTAAATGATTGAAAAAAGACACTCATTTGTCCACACCCACAGTATGTATATATGTATATATAGATAGACATCTGTATCAAATTTGGGCCTTTTCAAATTACAAATTTATAAATATTACAGATCTTTGGCATCAGTCAAAAATTTGGAAATAGCATCAAGTTTTTGGCATCCTGAAAAGTCATGATTTTTATCTCTCATGCCCATCCCAGAGACTGCTAATGTCTTCTAAAGCGTGGGTTGAGGAGGCCGGTGAGGGCCTGTCACGTTGCCTGGGGAAGAGTTGTGCGATCGATTAGCAATGTCTGCCCTGGGTGTGGGTGGAGCCGGCGGCAGCAGCAACATTGAGTTCCCGCAGTGCAGGGTTCCCCGGTTTCTGCCTGCTCTGCTTGAAAGGCGATTGGAACGCTGTCAGAACTGATTCCATGAGTACAAGGACTCTTAACTTCAGGATGAAGTTATGTACTCAATCAGTGTGCATTTATTGAGCACTTTTGATGCATGAGACGTACCCTTAGGCATTGGGGGAGATTAAAAAGTGAATCAGACTCACTCCAACCCACAAATAACTTGGTTAACCGAAGACAAAGTATGTGTGTGTACACATGTGTGTTTAGGGTACGAGGTCATACAGAGCTGCAAGAAAGGGTTAGACGAAGGGAGGGACAGGAGATGTGTCAATGTGAGTGTGAAAGGTGGCAGAAGGCCTGCCTGTGACGGTCCACTGGACGGGAAGCCCTGCAGTGACGTAAGGAAGGCTGCTGGGCTGGATAGAAAGGCAAGACTGTGTCAGATGGAGGGGCCAGAGCGAGCCAAAGCAGCAGAGTGGCAAGATCCCAGCTGCCGGAGACTGACTGGCTGGTAAGGGTCTGTCCTTGTGGTTTGATTCCAGCTTCTCTCACTTCCCGGCCCCCGAGCAGGCGGGCTGCTACGGGCTTCATTAGCTTGTCATACTGATGCGACATCCATTTTTATAAGAGTTGTCTGGGCCAGGGGAAAACCTGCTCTTTGCAAAGATCATCTTTCATCACCATTTGACGTGTGACATATAACAAATGTCTTAAAGTAAAGGAGACGCCTCACTGGTATCTCACACTGTACATTTTTATTGTAAACCTAAAAGAACTGACAAAGGTTCCATCTTTATTTCCTTAACTACATACAGTCAACAAATATTGCCAATGAAGAACATTCCTGACGTCCTATTATTCCATTACGTGAATAAGGCAAAAATTCTTTAACACACTGCTGAGTTAGAAAGTAGCGTTATTTGGTTGAGATGATCGGCGAAAATAGCTTAAAATTGTAAATAGAAGCTCACTCCTAACATGCTCTTATGTTATGTCATACATACGCATACATATAAACACGAGGTAGGGTTTTGTTAAATTTCTTTTGTAAATACTTAAAAAATGAAAGCAGAGCGGTTGGCTTCACTGAAATAGTAATAAAGAGAAATCACAAATTGAGGAAAAAATTCTTCAGCTATATGCAGAAAGCTGTAAAGAGCCAGTCTAAGAAGCACCGAGAAATAGACTTTCAATAAAATGAGGATGCACATTTTATATTTAGGAAAAAAATACGAATTCAAATCAACCTAATCATCCTTGTAAAATTTAGAGTGCATATTTGGAACACGAAATATGAACTTCGGTGTTGAGGGACTCCTCAGGCCTTCATTTTACTTATCGATTGGCTTGTGGCTATCTTCTAAGCAAACCTAAAACAGAGAAGGTGATTTCTATGATACTGAGTAAATAAGTTCCACCTCGATCCAAAGCTCCCGGCAGGCAAGCTGGTTGTGGGTTCTTGTCCTCTCCCTCCCTCCTCGTCCCCTCCCCCTCCCTCCTTCCCACTCCTGTGCCCTTCCTGAAGTTTTTATGGGCAGCCGTACATCTATATTTACCCACTATATTTAGTAAGTTTGATTATGCATAGCCTAAATTCAGATCTGAGATGATGATCCAGATTTTTGTTCACTGAGAGAACTTTTTTCTTTTTTTAATAGGTTTACAGCGAAGACGAAGCACCAACTTATTTCTCGCTGCTCTTGCTATTCCGTAGGCTTGGTTTGCCCCAGGCCTTTGCCCTCACTTCTACAAAAGGCTCTGCTTGCACATCCGCCCATTCCAGTTACTTCCTGACATTTAAGTTGCCACTCAGTTGGCACCTCTTCCGAGAAGCCTCCCAGATTACTCACTGTAAACAACACCCTCATGCAATCCCTCACCACTGACTGGCCTAACACTCTGTTTGTTTTCTGCTCTCTCTTTACGCAGTTTTGGTGTTTTGTGGATTTGTGGTTTTGTTTTTGTTTTTTTTTTAATGAAATACACCAGTCAGTAAGTTTTCATGTCATTGAAGAAAAATTTACATACAATAAAATTCAGCCCCTCTACTGTAGTTCTGCAAGTTTTGACAAATGCATCCAGGCATATCCTGCCACCAGGATGATCAAGATACAGAAAGTTCCACTGCCTGAACTGCCGCCACATCTCTTCATAGCTAACCCTTCCCCAAGCCCTTCCGAGCTATTCTTTGTATCTGCGGTGTTGCCTTTTCCAGAATGTCGTGTGAGTGGTATCATATATTGTGTAGCCTTTTAAGTCTGATTTCCTTCACTTTCTATAGCTTAGTTTATTTGGGATTCATCTGTATTATTATAAATGTATCAGTATTTCTTTCCTTTTTGTTACTGAAAGTCGTTTCATTGTATGCATGGATCATAGTTTGTTCATTCTCCATTTAGAAGACATTCTAGTTGATTCCAGTTTTGATGATTACAAATAAAACTGCCATACACATTCAAATACGGTTTCATTTCTGTTGCGTAAATGCCTGGAAATGAGATTGCTGGGTCATCTGGTAAGTGCATTTTTAACTACAGAAGAAACTGGTGAACTAGGTTCAAAAGTCTGTACCACTTTGTATTCCTACCAACAATGAATGAGAATTCTGGTAGTTTCACGTCTTCACCAGCACTTGCTATCATCCGAATTTTTATTTTAAGCCATTCTCATAGACGTGTGGTGGTATGTTGCTATGGTTTTAATTTTCATTTCCGCATTGACTAATGAGGGTGAACATTTTTCATGTGCTTATTTGCTATTATATCTTCTTGAAGGAAAGTCTGTTCAAATCTCTTGTCCTCAATAAAATGGTTTCTTCTTATTGGGCTTTTTAAAAAGTATTATATCATACATTCTTTTTATATTCTGGATACTATTTTATTTTTTTCACATAGGTGATTTCCTAATACTTCCACCTAGTTTGTAACTCATCTTTTCATTCATATCATGTGTCTTTCAAAGATAAGTTTTTAATGTTCATAAAGGACAATTTATCCTTTTCCTCTTTCTCTTTCCAGGAATCAGGTCATATCTAAGAAATTTTTGTTCAAACCAAAGATCACAAAGATTTTCTTCTATGTTTTAGTCTCAAAGTTTTATATTTTTAGGTTTTCTGTTTTGATCCATGATCCCTTTTGAGCTAATTTTTATAGATGGTCTGAGATATGGATGGGAAGTCACTATTTTTATTGCGTACTGATATCCATTATTCCAGCACCACTTTTGGAAGAATATCACCTCTCCATTAATTGCCTTTGCAACTCGAAAATCAATTGACTCTAATGGTGGATGTTTATGTTTTTAGTAATTAACTTGTAGATCTTGAGATGTTTTTAGCATGCCACATTAGATGTTTTTAGATGGTATCAAGGATCAGAAAAAAAACAAAAATGAATCTTTCGTTTTTGTGTGTAAGTCTATTGTAAGCCCTAAAAATGGACAGAATAAAAATCAGGTAGAGATAAAGTTACTTATTCTGATTGAGAATTACCAACAATTCCTCTCGGTAATGCCAATTATTTTAATTCTCCCTAACACACACAAGCGTGCGCGTGCGCGCGCACACACACACACACACACACACACACGTCCTGCTTTTCTGTTCCTCAGCAGATTGGAGTTGACTGTCAGGGAGCAGAAGGACATTGCCATAGCTGAACATTTAACCGAGCATCTACTACATGCTAGGTGCTCTCCGAGATTTGGTCATTCACCACACATCCTCACTGAAGATACTGAGGCCTAGACATTAGGGAAGAGTTGGTGAAAAAAATACAATCAAGATCTGGAATTCCCAAGGGAGTCACGTTTTAAGCACCCTTATCTACTTAATTATTTAATTAAATACATCAGTCTGACTTGGTGATGAATGAGAGAAGAAGGGAAAAGGAGAGGCATCAGCTGTCCCCACCACCCCCACCCCTCTGTCTGTTTTGACAGTCCTGTGGCCACCTTGAGTATCACTCAACCTAGACCAGTCTGCACTTTGACCTTGTGGCCACTGTGTTTGTGCCTTTGTGCAAAGCAGGGGCTGGCCAAGGCCAAGGCCCAGGCCCTGTCCCCGTGTTTCCTGGTTAAAAGTGAAAGCTGGACTTGAGTTACTAGTTCACGTGGTTCTTGCCCTTAAGAGGTGGGTTTTCTAAAACCCTATGAAAATTCATTTTCTATCCCCAAATCCAAATGATTCAGTCTGGAATGAACTACAGATCATCACCTAACTTACTGAGAGAGTGGGAGTGCAGAGACCAGTAAGCAAAGGGAGAAAGACAGGAAAGTAGCAATTACTGAATACTACTTATGTCAACTGTTAAGTACCTGGACATGGTATGGACAGCCTTATGTTGTTTACCCCATTTGACAGATGAGAAGACTGAGGCTGAGGCAGATTAAATTGTCCTAGTGAACAGTCAGCATGTTCTGAGGCCACAATCTATGCCCTTGACTTTATATGACAGGATTGTGTAGAAGGATGGGAGGGAGAACACCCCCTTTCCCTCAGAATTAAAGATGGCATCCACATCCCTAAACGGGAATAGGCTTTAAAGAGTCCTACTATGTGTGACAACTTGCACACAATGTAAACAATGGCAGCCTTGCTTGTTTTTTTTTTTTTTCCCCCTCCCATGACCTCCCAAATCACCATTTCATTTTCCCATCTCTGCCAAAGAATTCCTGGTTTGGTTTCCTGTGTTTCTTCCTCTCTTTACGCTTTTCAAAAAGTACTATAGAGACATGATGCTTTGAACAAAAGCCTTGGGAGACATTATAACATGAGAGAAAGTCTTTAAGAAAGTAAAGAGTGACAGTGTTCAGTGGTTTTAATTGTTGGGCTGACTTCATGTCAACCCAACACGACTTCACTCATATTGACTGGGTGTAAAGATGGGGAGTTTCTCCAGAAATATCTGTCGTGTCCATCTCATTGTGGCAAGTTCTTTGTATCACACACAATCTGCACAGCTTCTAAAGAGGTATGTCCTGACTTACATGCTCTCAAAAATTGTCTCAAAAACATATTTTCAATGGACTTCATGTTTTAGATGAATTAGAATACCTACTTCAGGGGCGCCTGGGTGGCTCGGTGGGTTAAAGCCTCTGCCTTCGGCTCAGGTCATGATCCCAGGGTCCTGGGATCGAGCCTCGCATCGGGCTCTCTGCTCGGTGGGGAGCCTGCTTCCCTTCCTCTCTGCCTGCCTCTCTGCCTACTTATGAGCTCTGTCAAATAAATAAAATCTTAAAAAAAAATAAAAAAGAATAGCTACTACAAAAAACCATCTGTTAGTGAGGGAAGGTCAGAGGAGCACAGAGTTAAACTCCACATTTTGCAGGTGAGAGAAAACCCGAATGCCGGAAGGAAGTGACTTTGCCTGAGGTCACACAGCTCATTAGAGCTCAGCTGGAAGGAGAGAGCTCGCTTTGTAGGACTACCCAGTGCTCCCTGTTTCAGGATCAGATTGGTACATACTGAATTCCATTTAATGGAACAGAAAACATTCAACTCCATCTCAAGATCCAAGTCTCCTTAAAGAGGAAGAGTAGATTTTTTTTTTTTTTCTCCTCTTAGGAAAGATGGAATCAGTCTGACTCTCTTTACCAGGTCCTGTGGTCAGTTGAGATTTTGTATGTGTGGGTGGAAATGGATGAGAGCATTTCTTACCTAAAGAAAGGATTCTTTAAATCGAGGATGTTCCCAGATCTGAAGCCTGTCTGGTTTACCAGTGCCACAATCTGAATGTCATAGCTCTGTCTGGATGGCAGAAAACAAAACAAAACAAAAACCCATCATTTGACAAGACCAGATATCTTCACATACACTGAGGGCACTGCCTACACGTACCCACCTACCTCATGAGGGCTTGAAGAGTGCATGGTGTTATCTCCTACAGGCCCATGTGAGCTAATCTGGATGCTACTAATATTTATTTGTTAGAAGAGTTTGACAGTTATAGTCTTGTGATCTAAAAAATTACAAAGTTAATTGTGTTTCTGGTTTTACCAATGGCAATGACAGAAATGGCTTTAATTAACAGAGGTACTTTTCTGGGTCACCCACCGAGGTACCAAAACAATCTTAATTGTGCAAAGACTGGATAATTTAAAAATCTCATACTGACATAAAATTGCAGACTGCCAGTTAATAAATGTGAATGATTTTAAGAGACCCCAGATGAAGGCTCATGCAATTCTGGCGAGAACTGGCTGATAAGATCAGCTAATAAGACACATATCCTTGATGACTAATCTGGAGGAATTATGTGCATGGGATTTTTATTAGTCATATGTATGCCTGCTCAGCCTGCTGCTCCCCCTGCTTGTGCTCTCTTCTCTGACAAATAAATAAAATCTTCTAAAAGATATGTATTTCTTCAGATTATAAAGTGTTACATATTCATTTGTAGAACCGAAAAATAAAATAGAAATTAAAAATAAAATAATAAAATAGAAATTAAATAAAATAATCCATAACATCACTGGACGAAGATTCTTCTACTATATTATCTCACCATTATTTTCCCTACTACCATTTTTTTATAAACATAAATTTTTAATAAAATCACCTAAAATATTCCTTCATATCTCCTAATTTTATTTAACATAAGCAAGCACTTATCTTATAATTCCTCTTTTAAAAAATTTATTTGGGAGAGAGAGAAAGCAAGAGAGAAAGCATGAATAGCGGGGAGGGGCAGAGGGCGATGGAAAAGCAGACTCCTGCTGAGCAGGGATTCTGACACAGGGTTGGATCCCAGGACCTTGAGGTCATGACCTGAGCCAAAGGCAGACGCTTAACAAACTGAGCCACACAGGTGCCCCATCTTATAATTCTTGGCAATATATTTTTCAGCAGTATTACATGGGTATAGCAAAATGTTTAGTAATTCCCCACTTTCAAATATTTATATTTTTATAACATATTATAAACACGTAATAACATATTACTACTTATAGTAAAAAAAAAAATCAAATTTTATGGGGCGCCTGGGTGGCTCAGTGGGTTAAAGCCTCTGCCTTCAGCTCAGGTCATGATCTTAGGGTTCTGGAATCGAGCCCCACATCAGGCTGTCGGCTCAGCAGGGAGCCTGCTTCCCCCCACCCCCCTCCCTCTGCCTGCCTCTCTGCATACTTGTAATCTCCATCAAATAAATAAATAAAAATCTTTAAAAAATTTAATTTTATGACAGAAATTCTGCTGTAGAGGACATTCTTGTAATACATCTTTATGTCCTATCTGTGATTATTTCCTTGGAATAAATTCTTAGTGTTAGACTCACCAGGCTATAGCACATAGACACTTAAGGTTCCCAATACCTACTGCTAAAATAGACATTTTAGAAAGTGGACTGAAGGGGAGCCTGGGTGGCTCAGTGGGTTAAAGCCTCTGCCTTCAGCTCAGGTCATGATCTCAGGGTCCTGGGATTGAGCCCCACATCAGGCTCTCTGCTCAGCAGGGAGTCTGCTTCCTCCTCTCTCTCTCTGCCTGCCTCTCTGCCTACTTGTGATCTCTGTCTGTCAAATGAATAAATAAAATCTTTAAAAAAAAAAAAAAAAAGAAAGTGGACTGAATTACTTCCTCACCTCCAAAGTACAAAAGGCTAATTTCATTACGCATCTTCAAATCCTTAATATTTTAAATGTTTGGGGTTAACATGTTATTATTTTAATTTGAATTTCCTTGACTGTTTGGCTTCCGTTTCAAATTCCAGGAATTACTAAAAGATACAAAGGCCTCCCACCCTGTCATTACCAATAGTGGAAAGGCTTACATATAATGTCAGATCCTATGAAACCTGTAGCTCCAGTTCTAGATTTTATCAGCACCAGACAAAGTAAGAGGGGAAGACAGGCCTACATAAACATTAAGAAAGAAAGAGAGAAAGAAAGAAAGAGGGGCGCCTGGGTGGCTCAGTGGGTTAAAGCCTCTGCCTTCAGCTCAGATCATGATCCCAGGGTTCTGGGATCGAGCCCCGCATCGGGATCTCTGCTCAGCAGGGAGCCTGCTTCCTCCTCTCTCTCTCTGCCTGCTTCTCTGCCTACTTGTGATCTCTGTCTGTCAAATAAATAAATAAAATCTTAAAAAAAAAGAAAGAAAGAAAGAAAGAAAGAAAAGAAAAATGTTCTTCGATTCTGTTTCAACTCCTATAATTAACTCCAAACTACTCTGCTGTAAGTTTCCTCCATGATACCCACATCCAGTAGTTCACTGCATTTGTGATACCAAAAAGTAGATGTGGGGGGAGTGAGACACAGAGACACCAAGCTCTTGGGAGGGAAGCAGCCCTCCTGGTCATGGAAAGGCTGAGAAAGTCTCACAGGTAATTCAGAGAGTGACACACATGCACATTTTTCCCAAAGGAAAGACACCTTCTTAACAATATTTGAAGTAATTAATATAGGACTTCAACCAGAAATGGGGGACCCCAAGGTCTGTACAAATGTGTGTGTCCACGGATGCATATAAGGCACAAGGGAGACCTGCGTGGCCCCAGGTGTGGTCGGGAAGAACAATCAGGACGTTCTTGCCACAGGGTGTTCACCAAGGCTGTCTTCAGAACGCTAGATAACACTGTCACTTTATACTCACTTCTCTCAGCCTGCTCTTCTCCCTGACCCAACCTCAGATTCCTGGCTTTCCAGAAGGCAAAAAGAGCTTCATGTCATGTTAGGTCATGGCTCAGCGTGATGAGTGAGAGCGGAGGTTTGTTCTCAAAGCCCTGCTGTGCTGGCAGGGGCAGGGGGCGGTGGGGAGGATGGTTGGACATGCTAATTTGATAGTGATTCACCCAACCACGGGAGAATGTGCCCTTTCCTAAGACGGCATGAAAACCACGCACTCTCCTATCCCAGGAGCAGGTCATCCTGGTGCCACGACACCCAGGAGGCCGACTCCAGACTCTGTAATTAATGTGCAATGTGGATAAAGCAACCAATAATGGAGACTCTTCCCCAAGACTGTACACAGGATCCTAAATAACCATGGATTCTTTTGAACCAGTTATGTGGCAATGTGTATTCTCTAAAAGCAAAACTAACCTCATTCTGCCAGAATTAGTTATTTTAGGTCTACAGAGATGGAGTCAAGTGACATACGTGGGGACATACTTTAGTTCAAGGATTAAGTGCAAAATCATTGCTTTGTATACCAACATTTCTTTTGTCATCAAGCAGAGATTGGAACCTTGAGAACAACATATGTAGGGCATGTCTTTCTAGGGAATGTGGTAATTCCGTTTTATTAGAGAAAACAGAAAGGTACAGTAGAGGGAGGGAGAGGCTCAGTGCTGACTGCCAAGGAAGAAGGGGGTGGAGAGAAAGATGGAAATAGAGAGAGGAAGCAAGATGGCAGAAAACTAGAAAACTGAAATAGCATTAGGTCACAGGAGTTCAGCTGGATAGTTATCAAACCATTCTGAACATGTACAAACGCAAAAGAAGAGAGAAGAGAAGAAGAGGAGCAGTTCTAGAAACAGAAAATCGACCACTCTTGGGAAGGTAGGACATGTGGAGAAGTGAATCTGACATGACGGGAAGATAGACTGCAGCAGGGAAAGGGGCAGAGGGGCCGGCTCCCAGCAAGTGGTAGAGCAGCAGAGCACAAAACCAGAACTTTCAGAAGTCTGCTCCACTGAGGGACATCACTCCAGAGGCTAAGCAGGGGTAGAGCCCTCACGGGCACAGTGTGGTCTCAGGACCCATGGGGTCACAGAAAGACCGGAGTGTCTGAGTGTAGCAGAGCTCGCAGATATTAAAGCAGGGAAGCCGACTACAGAGACAGAGCCAAGGAGTGAGCTCTCAGATCGGAGTTACCTTAAACTGTGATCTGCAGCACAGTCAGGCCACTGCTCTTTGAGCAGGGACCCCATGGTAGATCTGGGGAGACTTCCTCCTTCCTCCTTCGGGAGGAGCAGTGCGGGAGCCCGCGGCAGGAATCTGCTGCATTTGGAGACTCCAAACGGGGCCATGCACCAGAAAAAGAAACGCTCGGTCACAGGCTGGGTGAGCTTGGAATGTGGCCGGAGACCCGGGAGATGTGAAGGATTGACTGCTTTTCTCTGAGGGTGCACTGAGGAGTGGGGCCCTGGCTCTCAGCTCCTACCAAACCAGAGACTGGGAGGCCGCCATCTTCATTCCCGTCCTCCCGAGCTCTAGGGAAAGCGTCCAGGGAACAAAAGCTCCCAAGAGCGAACCTGAGCAGATTGCTTAGCCTGGCCCCTGGCAAGGGCGGTGCAGTTCCACCTCAGGTAAAGACATTTGAGAATCACTGCAACAGGCCCTTCCCCCAGGAGATCAGCAAGAATATCCAGCCAAGACCAAGTGTTTTGGTCACTGAGAACTGTGGAACTCCAGAGCTCGGGGAAAGCAACACTTAGAATTCATGGCTTTTTTTCCATGATCCTTTAAGTCTTGCAAAGTAAAATTTTTTTAATTTTATTTTTTTCTTATTCTATTTTTTAAACTTTTCTTCTTTCTTCTTTAAACTTTTTTTAAACTATTTTATTTTATCAATACCTTTTTAAAAAAATCTTTTAAAATTTTCATGGTTATAGTCATATTTTATCCCTTCATTGTATTTAACCTTATTTTTTGTATACATATTGGTTTTTCTTCTTTAAAATTTTGGGATATAATTTCTTCTAATAGATCAAAATAAACCCTAAATCTAGCTCCAGTCTGATATTATTTTTTCTTTTTCCAACCAACTTATCTTACCAATTCCTTTTTAAAAATCTTTTAAAATCTTTTAAAATC